CTAATTTTTGAAAGGAAAGTATGGAAATTCCATTAATGATCAACCAGACATGAGATACAGGCCGGCTGCTCAGTAAGCTAGGGGACTACCATTGAGTATGCCTAATTCGTTATGTGTAGAACTTAAAAGTTGTTTTGGTTAAATTAAAAATTGCACTAAGATGAAGATTTAACTCGAATAACTTTTGCAAAGCACATTGACCATCTGGTTGAGTACAAAGCACATTGAGTAGTCATGGATATTGCCTAAAGACTTTCAACAATTCAACAAGAAATCAAAATCGTGGAAAATGAATTCCATTAATGTTCACAATATCATATCATATACTAATGTCTTGGGAAGAGGTTTACCATTCAAATCAAATAAGGGAGTTAATGCCATTTTTGGTCCTAGACTTATTGGGGTGTCGACAATTTTCATCCTCCATAATAAAAATTGCCATTTAGTAGCCACCGTTATTGGTCGTGGGACACTTTTGATCCTCCGTCAGTGAATCCGTCTCTTGACCGTCTAATTGAAGGGTAAAGTTGTCTTTTATGCCATTTTCTTCTAAGTATTCATCTGAAGACTCCGTCAGCGTTGCGATAATATCGAGGAAGGCCGCAGAAGCCGCCTGCGATAATATCCTCGCCGCCGGAACTAGAGCTACCCAACGCCGCCGGACGAAACTTCGGAAATCTACGAACGGATCTTTGGTGAGATTGGTGATGATCATGAAATTGTGTGAAGAAGAATGATTGGTTTTGGTGTCCAGATCCGGAGATAGCAGAGATGAAGAACGATCGAAATTGGCCCCCTTTTTGTACACCCGTCCTCAAACGTATCGCCCGTAATCTGTTCTAACCGGCGAATTCTCGTCCTTGCTTGTTGTCGCTGATGACCCGGACCTCCCAGAGACTAGCGCTGTTAAAGATTGCCGTTCGAAGCAGAGCTTCTCCTAGTCGCAGAAGTACGCTCCGTCAATGAAGCCGCCTGCGATAATATCCTCGTCGCCGCCCCTTGCTCTGCAGTCTGCTGCCGGTGAATCTTTGTCTCCCACCGATACGTAGGCGGTGGAGGCCGCCGCGTCTCCGAAGAAAAAGGGGATGGGCAGACCTCTCGATTTTGGGCGAAAGAACCGGCGCCGCTCTGCGTTTTGCTCTCGAATCGGAATATATATTTTAATCCTCAAAGTCAACTAATCCTCCTTGGATGGAAAATGATTGGGATCGAAAGGCAGTCCCCTTGGCCTCAAAGTCAACTAATCCTCCTTGGATTTCTCCCTGGTATCAACTCCCATCTTCTCATAATCTTAGATTCTAATCCCTAATGTTTCTTTGCAAATGCTGGGTAATTGTATTCATAGACATGAATTGATTATGATACCCTGGAATGGAATCACCTTATTTTTGGAATTTTTTTTTGAATTGACAGTATAGGGAAGGAAGAACATTGCATCTTGACCGGCGAGATTGATGATGATGTTATTCCGGCAAGCAGCGACGATGGGCATGGGCAGATTGTGATTGCCAGAAACAGATCAAAAAGAGATCCAGCAGCTCTGGTCTTCGCTCTCTGTTTCTCTCCCTCGTCCACGAGCAGCAGCAGCCATCAGCACCGTCTACAGCACCACTGTGAATCCAAAGAAGGGAGACCTGGGCACAATTGAACCAATCTCCTCTGGTTTCATCGTGGCGTTTTGCCTAATAAGTTTACCTACCCTTTTGTTCTTAAGGCATGTGCTGGCATTGGAGACTTGAGGCTAGGCGAAACGGTGCATAGATTAGTGGTGAAGTTGGGGTTCGGTGATGATAGAAATGTTTTGAACACTCCAGTTCATATATATTGTTGCTATAGCGGTGGGGTTGAGTATGAGAGAAAGGTGTTCGATGAAATGCTTAAGTGGGACTCGGTTGATTGGTGTGGGTCTTCAAATCAGATAGCAATTGCTTCGAATTTGGTACCAAACACTTAGAATTAGCTAAATATTTACTTCAAACAGGGTTCTTCGAGTCTTTGGAGACCTTGTTTGCCATTCTCCGACGGCGGCGATGTTACGGAGTTCGTCGCGAGGTTCATCAGGCTGGTGATTGGCGGTGGCGAGATTGAACGGGATGGATAAGAATGGGAGCTTTGGTTGGAGATTGTCAATATTTGGAGAAGAAGACATAAAAAGACAGCAATACCCTTCAATTTCACGGTCAACTAACGGCACTTGTAACGGAGGACTAAAAGTGTCCAACGACTAATAAGTGTGGCTATTCATTGGCAATTTTAATTATGGAGGATGAAAATTGTCGACACCACTATAAGTCTAGGACCAAAAATGGAATTAACTCCAAATAAGGGAATAGTCTTTTCAACGGTTAATCTATATATACAGATACCGGTGGAGGTTTCAACCACTAAGCCTATGGTGAGCATAATGTAGTTTGAATCTATTCTCTGATCCAAATTGTATTAGAGGGTACAAAATAAGAGCTGAAAAACGCAAGGTCTTTCTTGTTTTTTCCCTGTTTTAAACTGTAAATTTCATTCTGAAGTGCGGAGATGCGGTGAGGATCGCGTTGGGAGAATTGTTCCCTCATATCTTCCCATACGTCTCTCGCCTTGTCCATGCGCATGATACTTTGAGCAATCGACGGTTGAACAGCTTTACAAATCCACAAACACACCATTAAATTGCATCTCCTCCACGCCGCAAACTCTGGTTGATTTATGGTCGGCACACTGATAGTTCCGTCGATTATACTCCATTTATTCTTCACTTCAAGCGCGATCCTCATAGATATGCTCCACGATCCGTAATTCGGACTTCCAGTTAGAGCAGGAGAGACTAAGATGACGCTCGGATTGTCATTGATGCCAAACGTTAGAGGATTCTCCAGATCTTCTAAAGCTCGATTCCTTGATGTGAAAAGACTCCGCTGCGGAGCTGTTACGGGAGAGCTACGAGCAGGTGAGCGAATGATCGGTGAGGCTTCTTGTACTCCTTGAGTTGTTTCGCCTACGCCGGAGCAGCGGCGGCGTAGGTACGCCGGAGCAGCGGCGGCGTAGGTACGCCGCTCTGATACCATGACAAAGATATTAAAAAAAGAGTCTAGAACTGAACTTCATTGAGCAAAGAGAAAGTAAAAGTGAAAAGTGTTTTACAGAGGGGAAGGTGGCAAGCTTATATACAACGGTTATAACAGAGATAAAGAGGGAAAAGACAAGAAAGACCTTGCGTTTTTCAGCTCTTATTTTGTACCCTCTAATAAATTGCAAAGAAATTTCCATATTTATACATTTCCATGTTGGAGGGGTGGCAATTGATTCTTGAGTATGCTCCAAGTGACCATTTTTTAGAAAGTCTGTATAACTTTAACATGAGCATTCTTTATGAATCAAGTACCATTCAGAAGGTGCATTGCCTCTTTGAGTGAAGAAGAGAATGGTTTTGTATAGATACTCTTGAGCCATGTTTTTCACCCTAGGCTTACCATTATTTCATTCTATTGATTGGTTCTAGCTCCAAAGAACAGTTTAGGCTATCGATTCAACAAGGGTTGTATAAACCGCCCACCTTCAAATAGGCAAATTAGATTATTGTAATCGGACACGAAAATAAGAAAACAAAAGCAACGGACTTCGAAAACTCGATGAAATTAGTTGCACCTGTAAATACAGATACTAGTGCATGAACCTTCCTCCCCCCCCCGCCCCCCCAAAAAAAAAAAAAGTCAATGTTCAATCCCTTAATTCGTAAAGTGGGTTGAAATTCTCTTTTTAAATATCCGATATATATATATATATATATATATATATATATATATGACGCACGGAGCACGCCCAGAGGACCTGTGCATTCCATGTGCTAACAAGGTGCATTGAATGCTCAAGCGACCACTTACTTTTTTTCTCTCACTCGGCTCCAAAAAAGTTACCAAAAATTCAACTTAAAAACCACATGAATAATCTTGCACTAACAATCATAATTTATTGAAATTTTACATAAAAATTTTAAATGATAAGAAATCTTGGGTGGCTGCCATAGATGCACATATGCATAATGGCCCATCCCAGTCAGAAAGTGATGTGCTTCCAATTGTTGCTCTTTGACAGGAATACGGTGAGCTCACAAGGCCATACATCTAATAAAACAAAATTATGACAAAAAATTTTCAAGTTATGGCACCCATCTTCTGCTGAATAAGAGCCTCTCTTTATCCAACATCGAGTTTCAGTTCCACAAGAATTCAAAATTAATCTAGGCAAAATCAATTATTCACACTATCTTTAAAGTTACATCGCTTACCATGTAAAAAAAATATTAAATATTTTAAGAGAATACGTTCAGTTAATTATATATCAAATACTTTAATAAAGAAAGACACATTCTGGGATTACAAGAGATTTGAAATTTGAATCTATACGTATGCATGTCGTGATTTTATTAAGAGAGTTGTTCCGAATGGGGTCCAACCGAGATTCGGTTAGAACATCCTCATTAGTGATGCGTGCACTTTACGTGCCAATTGGGCATGTCAGGGCGGCCGCCAACCCATTTTGGGTTTTTAGAGCACGGGGATCAATTGTTATAATCATGGTTTATATTGCATTGTGAACCATGATACAAGAATATTGTATCTTCAGTTAACACATTCTGTACATACAGTTAACCGTTTCTGTGCATGTAAACAAATAACTTTAATTGCTGACACATAATATGATAGCTACAGATACAGAATGTGTCAATTATAGATATAGAATCTGAAGGTTACATAATATTATAACTACATGTACAGAAACTATCAATTACATGTATAGAATGTGTCAATTATAGATACAGAATCTGAAGGTTATTTTTGGACTACAATAGAAGATAGACCCTGGTCCATGGTATAATTTGCCGGGGAGGTGGGGACTAGTATCTGAAGAGCTACAAATTGAGAAAAATCTTTCTCAGAAACCAATAACAGAAGAGGTGAAAAAAAAAAATCCAGGATTGGAATTTCAAAGATACCTGGGAATCATGGTAGCTGAAAACAGATTTTGTCTTTTATCCATGGCCCACTACAGATATAGAAATGGTCTAAAATCTGCTGTTTAAGCTGCCCATGTGCTCTCCAGAAGATTAAACCATACAAAACAACTGTTTTTTGCAGGCAATTCCAATTATTGCTGCATAAGAAAAAGCCTGCATCTCTCTCTGCTCTTCCCCTGATTGAAAAGCAAGCAATCAAAGAGCATAATCTGTCATGTCTACAATGGCCTTGCAGAGATCCAGTTTCTTGAAACCTTCCAGCTATGGTGTTAGAACACACACCCACATTCTTCCTGCATCTTACACAATGTGAGTCTTTCTCCTTTGCATGAATGAATATTCATATTCATATTCACTGTTGTTTAATTTGTTCTTTTTTGTGTTTAGAAGGATAATGAATTGTAGTTCCTCCCCGACGAGCAATCGAGAAGAATTGTTTAAACCACATCAACTGCAAACAGTTTCTGCATCACATCTGCAGCTTCCCTCTGAAAAGCTCATTCAGGACAGAAGATTAGAGTTTGGGCAATTCGTGGCCCGGGAAGCTGTTCTTGATGAAGAATATTGGGTTAGTTAAGGTTTCTGTTTTTACCTGCAAAAATCTAAACTTTCATCGACTTTTCATCGCTCAATGCTTGATGTTTTCTGGGTTGTTTCGGTAGACAGCAGCATGGTTGCGTGCAGAGAGCCACTGGGAAGAACAAGAGCAAGACAGGTATATAGAATGCAGTTTGTACTATGTTGGAATGGTAACTATTGTTAGGATCAAACGTGATAATAAATAAAACTCTGTATATATTTCTCTTACTTCCTACCTTCAACTACACACTGCCATATATATACATGCTAAACACAATGTAGAAGACCCTTCACATCCCTACTTTACTATCCATGGCCCTTCACATCCCTTTGGCTTTTCATATGCCTTGGCCCTTCATATCCTTACTTTATTCACTTCTAACAAAATGCTTACCACCAGTACACCAAAAACTATAGCTAGTAGCGAAAACGCCACATTTTCGAGAGACAGGGTGCTGGACTTGGCCCTTTACTGGCCTCTGCTCAACAACTCTCTTTCAGCTAGGAATTGAAGCTGAGGCTGATTCGGTGATGTCTACTAACTCGAGATTTTCTTGATTTTCACAGATATGTAGACACCTACAAAAGGAAATATGCAGAACAGGTAAGAACTAAGAACAAAGCAGCATTCCATCATAGTTGAATTACAATGCAATGAAATCCTGATTTCTCTTTTCAGGAGTATAATGCTTTAAAACGACGATGCAAGGCACAATTCGGGCAGAAATGCACCTGTGTAGTTGTCACGGTAACCATACTCGAAACCATTTTTTCTTTTTGGTTTTGGCTTGATCTGCTGTGTTGTCGATAGCGAAGTAATTAGTAATATTGAACTTAAACAGGCAAACAAGAAAGAAGGAGATGTGAGATGTCCACTGATGAAGAATATGGTGGGAACACTAGACTTGGTCATTGGGCAATTGTTGCCTGGAGAAACCTTTCTGGGGGTATAAGTCTTACCTGAAGAAACATCATATAAATCTCAGAAATAATCATTAACAGACAACCAATATTCATCCTTCCCTAATTCTGGCAGGAAATGGTGAAAGCCCCCGGTTTCTGCAACATTGACAGCAAAACATCGAGATATGGTTATATAGCAAACTTATGTGTAGCCAAATCGGCCCGTAGACAGGGCATTGCAAGCAACATGTTGCACTTTGCCATTACTACTGCCAAGGCCAGTGGTGAGGGATTTTTGTCACTCAATTGGGCTATAATACATATGGGCTAAACCACAAACTGAATCCAATCAATTTGCTAGTCTAATGAACCCATATATTCTCTCTTATATTTTCAATGTGAGACTCTTAACATCGATAATAACTCGATCCCGCTCATGTACAGGTGCGGACTTAGTCTTTGTACATGTACACAGAACCAACAATTCTGCACAGCAACTGTACTCGAAAGTTGGTTTTCAGGTACCCTTCACTTTCTGCACATTAGCACTAACCGTGTTGAGCATAATATATATAAATGATAAACGTACAGTCTCACTATCAGTTTAAGCTTTTAGTTGAAACGAAACGCATCTTTCAATTAACTGTTTGTCTCTCCATTCTCCCGCAGATGGTTGAAGAAGCAAGCCTTCAAGTCTCGGGCGAACAACCTCACCTGCTTTGCATCAAACCATAAAGCTCGATCTTCCTCTTCTCCACTGTGTCCAAGTTGCAAAGGGAATGGACACATCATTATTAGAAAACAACATAGGAAATCTATACAATGTAAGTTTTAAAGTAATAATCCGTATTAACTGCGTTAACTACTTCCCATCATTACAGAGTGTTAGCAACTAACCTGTACTAAGAATTTTATATGGGTTAGGGATTCATACTCAACATACAATTCACAATGCAAGACAGAAATCTTTGAAAACTTTAAAAAAAAAAAAAAAATGCGAGAAAACAATCAACATTTGCTCGAAAACACAAACGAAACAATGAACTGAACCCAAAATTCCTTGTATCATCGTTCTTCAGCTAAAAGAAACTAATGAATAGAATGACAAACAGCAATTAAGATGATCCTAAGCTTGCAAAATGGATTCGACGAGCTCATAGAGAGGTGCAAGCTCGCCCTCGTCGATTAACTGGAACTCCTACATTTGATCAACCCGAGTAGGCAAGGCGTCAGGATAACAGAAAAGCACGAGAAGAAACTCGAGGCGTTTTATTCAAGGAAACTAAACTCACCCATGTGAAGAGAACAAAATGCTTGAAGCAGGTGTTAAGGTGAGCTTCTTCTTTCAGACTCACAATCTTCTTGAAATGTGAATGGTAGATATGAGCATAAACGCGAAACAGCCTCTTAAGCACCGTCTTCACAACATCCTGGAAATTGGCTGGAAACGGGGCACCTGTTAATCAAATACAAAGTATAAACCCGTTGTCCCTAATCAGGAAAAAAGCTCGTTTCATCCCCGACGAGGGATATAGTGTACATACACACCTAACTTTTGAGGAAAGATTGTCTCGTCGTCTAGCTGTTTTTCAATCCAATCCATCAAATAATCAACATATTTAGGAGCAGAAACCTCGATGGGTCTCTTTATAGCAACCCCATCAGCCCATCGATACTCATACCTTCCCAAAAAACAAATTATATTGTATCACGAGAGTGGAATCATGGAATAGGCGTAAGCTAAGAAGCATACCTCGGGCCTGCATTCATCGTTGGACACGTTGTTGGAGTGCAGAATTCAGTGAGAGTGCCATACAATATATTCACTTGGTTAAAGAAATCCACAGCTGTATACAATACAACAGACTATTAATCTCCACTAAAAGTGCACGGAGGGAGATGTTAATATGTTATAGTCTAAGATTGGGCCGATATCCCTTTTCTGGACCACACGAAAAGACTGAATCCAGATACAATGTGGCTATAATGCACAAGGCCAAACCACACTAAAAAACTGAATCCAATCAATTAGCTAGTCTAACTCATAGCCTTATAAACTCATATGCAAATTGACACTATATATAAGTCGATAGACAAGAAGTTTCATAGGAAGTAATATATTACTGTTAACAGCGAGCCATTCATTAAGATCTTCCCCGGGCGGAAGACGAACCACTTCCCTTAAGTTTCCACTCCCCAAGGTTTGATGAATATGTTTCTGAAGTTCTGCACCCTGAATTTCAAACAAATTAAACAATGAGAAAACTGTTCAGTTGGAATGTCTAATCAATGTACAATAGCAGGTGAACCTTTTTGTCAACAAGTTAAAGCTAAAGAGTAATATATCACTTGAGTACATATATCAGTTAAACCTGAAACTATTAGCTTTAAAAAAAAAAAAACAAAAGATTAGTTATTCCAAAAATACAATTCATTCTATATAATTTTCATCTTACCTTTCTTCATTCGATCAATTGTCTGCTAATGAATGAAAGATAGTGATGACCATTAAAACTACAAGACACTTGACTTATAGTGACATCTTTGAATACTTAATATAATCCTTTCTAAAAAGAAAAAGTGAATGAATGAAAGGCCATAAAGCCATAACCAACCATTTTTTTTTTCTAGAAATAAAAAAATATTTATTGACAGAACATAAATTCCAAAACCAATTGCCAACCAACCTTGCTTCCTGATGGGGCACTCTTTTTGGGACGAAATGTCTTCTGGTTTCTGCAAACACAATAAGAAAAACAGCAAAAAGCTTTATATCAACATTGCCCTAAACATACATATATATATAACTAACAAGCAAGAATTCTTGCTAGAAATTTCACAAACAACAGAAACCCAAACTGGCAAAAGGGAAAAAGATTATTTCTTTTAGAGTTTTAGTACTTCCCAGATATGAATATACCTGCTCCCAATGCCAAAGAGACTCATGGTTGAGAGCACAGAGGGCTGGGGTAATTTTCTTGAGTTCAATTATGTGTGTGCCTATATATGCTGCATATATATATATATGAGGAAAACTGCTATATATCTTGCTTGGGAGGGTGGGGTACGAAAGACAGACTGGCAATGGAGAGGTCACGCCGGACAACAACAAAGACGACCCCTTTTTCCTCTCTCTCTCTAAAAGCTGTGTTTTTCTTTCCTCTCTCTCTCTATATATATGCTTGCATGCTTCGTGTGTATATGTGCGACTGTGCGTGCAGGCAGAGGCAGGTGGTGTTCTTGTAATGCCATAGCGCAGCCAACCAACCAACACTTGTTTATGCACCAAATATGATTTACAAAAAGGCACTGAAATCTCGTTTAGAATGCTTTGATGAATGAATGAGTACACTTTTTTTCATCAAAACTTTCAATAATATTGTTGACGTGACGTGTTGTAATTGACTGATCCTAAAGAAATTGTTTTAAACTTAAATTAACTAATAATAGCACCACCTCGTATTTGGCGGAACTTCTGGTAAAGTTCTTTTATACATCAAGGGTTACTTCTTAGTGATGAAAAGTATTGTTCATGTGAACAGGAAAATACTAACACTCTTATCAATGTGGTGTATTTTTTCAAAAACTATTAATTACCTTTGACTGATATTATTTTAAAAACTTATTCTGAGAGAAATTCAAAATCTAAATTCATTTAGTTTTTTAATTTTCTTTGAAAATAATGAAATTTGAACATGTATAAACAATGGGATTATCTAAGTATTGTTCAAGTGAAATGGAAATACTAACACTCTAATCCAGGTGGTGTATTTCTTTCAAAAAGTATTGATTACCTTTGACAAGTAATTTTTTAAAAAACTTACTCTAAGAGGAATCCAAAGTCTAAATTCATGTAATTTTTAATTTTCTTTGAAAATAATGAAATTTGAACATGTATAAACGATGGGATTATCTAAATATTGTTCATGTGAAAGGAGAAATGCTTAACATAAACACTTATCAAGGTGGTATATTTTTTTCAAAAACTATTGATTACCTTTGACAGGTATTTTTTAAAAAACTTATTCTCAGAAGAATTCAGAGTCTAAATTCATGTAGTTTTTTAATTTTTTTTGAAAATAATGAAAGTTGAACATGTATAAACAATGAGATTATCTAAGTATTGTTCATATGAAAGGGGAAATGCTTAACATACATTCTTATTATGGTGGTGTATTTTTTTAAAAAAGTATTGATTACCTTTGACAGGTAATTTTTTTAAAAACTTATTCTGAGAGAAATCCAAAGTCTAAATTCATGTAGCTTTTTTTTTTATTTATTTTCTTCGAAAATAATGATATTTGAACATGTATAAACAATGAAATTATCTATGTATTGTTCATGTAAAAGGGGAAATGTTTAACATACACTCTGATCTTATCAAGGTGGTGTATTTTTTTCAAAAAGTATTGATTACCTTTGACAAGTAATTATTTATAAAACTTATCCTGAGAGAATCCAAAGCCTAAATTCATGTAGTTTTTTAATTTTTCTTTGAAAATAATGAAAGTTGAGTACCCTTCACATATTGCTATTACCATATTTTACTTGTCCTGGGAGCTTTTGAGGCAATCGTTATACCTTACACAGGGCGCACATAGCACTGTGCGCCGCGCGCCTCCCAAAACGACGTCGTTTTTGGGGTCGTTTTGGGAGGCGCGGTAGGAAGTTGCTGGGATTATGTGTATTTGTTCACACAGTTATGTGTATTTGTTCATACAGTTTTGTGTATTGGTTCATACAGTTATGTACATTTTTTATACAATTATGTACATTCTTTTTATACAATTATGTACATCCGAATCAGAAAATTTGTGTGTATTATGTTAATAGTTGATGTGTATTATGTTAAAAGTTTATGTTTATTATATATTATGTTAGATTATGTGTATTATCTTTTAAAAAAAGTATGTATATTTTGTTATATAATTATGTACATTCATGTATACAATTATGTGTATTCTAGTATAACATTATGTACATTCTTGAACAGCGGGTTTTTTTTAAAGAAAAAACTACTGCCATTGACTGGGGCGGGAAATTTCAAAAAAATATATATATATATTAAAACGACGTCGTTTTGCATCTGGGCGCATAGTGCAACGCGCGCCGTGGTATAGGATATAAATTGCCCTTTTTAGGTGTGAGGGTGTGTTGCAAACTTAATAATTGGGCCCATATTTTTATTGTTGCTATTTTATATTTTTTAGCCCAAACTTAATAATTGGGCCATGCTCAAAGCCCAAATCTATATAACTCAAGGTTCAAAACTCAAAAGTACTTATCTAATTGAAATATAAACTTTATTCTATTTGAGTGTGATTTTGACTTCGAATTCTCAATTTTGAATTGTTTCATCTTTGGAAATAAATTTTAAAAAGTATTTTACGTGAACTGGATAGTGCAGCCCTTCTGGAGCTGACACGTGTCCTTTTTATTAATATTTATTTATTTTTGTTTCGTTTCTCTTGTCACGGGATTCAATTCCGTGACCTTCCTTCAATGAGAGCCACAAAGGTATCAACTAAGCGCAAGTTACCTGATCATATTTTTAGAGTTAATTATATACATATTCATATTTTATGTACTCTCTATTTTTTGACCCATTAATTACTTATTGGTTCTAAGAATTATACTTCATCTTCCCCTTTTTACATATTATCTAATCAATCAATAAACTGTGTTTACTTCCTTTTCACTTTTTCATTTTTTATTTTCAAATAAAAAAAATGTACAAATAAAATTATTTTGTTTTAAAATTTTTCTTACTCTATTTGTTCATTTCTCTAGAAAAAAAAATGTTCTCGTATTAGTAAATGCATTTAGTATTAGAGATTGAATGCTTATGATTGAGTTTAACCATGT